TCTCGGATGATCCTCCGGTGCAGACCATCTTTGTTAAGGATGTTCATGGTGAGACTTGGCAGTTTAGGCATATTTATAGGGGGACGCCGAGGCGTCATCTTTTGACAACTGGGTGGAGTAATTTTGTGAACCGGAAGAAGCTCATTGCTGGGGATTCAATTGTGTTCATGAGAAAAGAAAACGGGGATATTCATGTTGGGATTCGGAGGGCTAGGAGGAGGATTGGTAGAGGACCCGAGGCTTTTTCTAGGTGGCATACTGGAACTGGAAGTTATGTCACGTCATTGAACCGGGCCTTTTCTGGAAACTTTAGTGAGGGTGATGAAAAGTTTGTACAAAATGATAGAACTGAAAACTGTGGTGTGGGCACGAGAGGAAGGAGTGATGTCCTAATTGAATCTGTCACTGAAGCCGCACTTCTTGCTGCTACTGGCCAGCCATTTGAGGTTCTTTACTATCCCCTTGCAAGCACTCCAGAATTTGTTGTTAGTGCCTCTACGGTGAGGGATGCAATGAGAATCAAGTGGTGTCCGGGTATGAGGGTTAAGATGCCATCTGAGACAGAAGACTCATCTCGAATTAGCTGGTTCATGGGAACAGTATCTTCTGTTGAGGCCGAAGATCCAATCAAATGGCCTGATTCTCCCTGGCACCTTCTTCAGGTTAAACACATCCTTGTTTCATCTCCCTCCTGCTTATGCCAATATAAAACGTACACAATCCATCCCTTCTCTTATAGGGAGTTTGCTTTAAAATTTGCCTTGAATTTATTGAACATAAACTCTCGTTAAAATATGCTATTCCAAATTAGTATTTATATGACTGTTAAAATATGCTAACATTTTGCAAATCAAAAGGCTACCCATTATGCAAGGCCCCTATTTCATTTACATTACTGTTTTCTGTAGTGCCATTTGAATCTGCTGGTGTAATTTAAAGTCCATTTGCATCTTGGGATAGTCCTCTACCAAAAACACCAATATCTCCTTGCAGATTTGGTCCACCACATTATTTCTAATTTAGAATCTTTGGAATATGCCTGCACGGGCTGCTCAGTTGGTTCTCAGGTGGTAGATTGTGGGCAAGGAATATGATCGAGACCTCCCCGATCTACTCGGGGTGTGAACCAGCGAGGATTTGGGGGACGGCCAAAGCCCGGGCCTTTGATACGCCCGCGCTCGGCCTTGGTCACACGATGGTTTCCTGTATTGCATACCTCGCATGGCATTGACGGCTTAACGTATTCGCATTTCGTTGCGCGCTCATCCTCGCAACATGCGTGGATTGGGCGTGGGACGGACGCAAAGGCATCACTAGCGTTCCACGGTCGTCGCAAACTAATACGGCCTTGGTGCACGATCGATTGCCCGAGCTCTCGGATTCGGTCCACCTTGAGGGCACGGGGCATCGAGCTCCAATCTGTCCCTTTTGACGCATTTCGTACGACTTAAACGGTCGCCTCGAGCGGACGAGTGTTCTCGTATTCTCTTGCTCCTAGGAGCAGGTGACGGGGGCATATCGTGCGCCTCGTGCGACAGCGAAGTCGTTGAGGAATGCTACTGACAGCCGCAGTGTGAGAGCTTGTGGGTGTCCTCCAACCTAAGAGGCCTCTGAGTTACCGTGATTTACCTCTCCAGTCTCCACTATCATGTTGGGCTAGGGTGTGGGGGGCCCTTGGGGCGAGGGAATTTTGCCTTTTTATGGGCAAATTCTCTAGCTACCAAAAATGTAGACATGAATACTTCAGTTATATGTTATTAATTGGAGTCAGAATTTTAGTTGTGTTTGTTTATTCTGATTCCCCCTCCCTCTCTCCTCTTCCTTGTTCATGACCAGGTGGCATGGGACGAGCCAGATTTGCTTCAGAACATCAAGCGAGTTAGCCCATGGTTGGTTGAATTGGCTACTGATGTGTGCCCCGTTCTTCAACCTCATTTATCACCTCCAAGAAAGAAGTTCCGGCTTCCCCAACCTCTACCCCTAGTCAGGCAACTTCCAGCACCGTCACTTTTATGCAACCCCGTAATTCCTAGCAGCCTCTTGTCTTGTGTATCAGACAATATTCCTACAGGTATTCAGGGAGCCAGGCATGCTCAATGTGGATTATCTTCAAAAGATCTCCACTTCAACAAAATGAACAGTGAGCTCTTCCCATTTGGATTCAGAGAGGCCGAGAGCACTATCCTACCTAAAACACTTACAGGTAATGTAATGGATAGTTCAGAAAACGAAGAGAATTTCTCTTGCCTCTTGACAATGGGAAATAACAGTCCAAATTTGGAGAAAAATAACGAAGAGAAAATTCCCGCATTTATGTTGTTCGGGAAACCAATTTTCGCGGAGCAGCAGATGCCCAATAGCTGCTCTGGAGAAACAATTGGCAAAAGTTTATCGAATTCCAACCAAGAGAAGACAAGAAATCTCTTAGATAGTCCAGGATCAGCAGTTCTTCAAAACGGCCCACTAGATAACTCTTCAGATGGAGTGTTTCCATTTTACAAAACTCAGAAATCTGAACCTGGATTTGGCACTGGACATTGCGAGGTGTTCATTGCATCAGAGGACGTTGAGCAGACACTCGAATCTTCCTTTTCTTCGTTCAATGAACTGTACAAAAAGCTGGTCGACGTGATTGGCATAGAAAAAACAGAGAAGTTTAACAGTGCACTTTATCAGGATGCTACTGGTGCCGTTAAGCACACCAGAGACGAACCATTCAGGCAAATTTCGAGTTTCATCTTACTTTGACTTTCCTAATATGTTCAAAACAGAACTGTGATGATCTCAATATCTAATATCTTGTTTTACCATGCAGTGAGTTCATGAAGAGAATTTGAAGGCTTTACTGTTCTTATGGATTCGAGCAGCGATAACATAGGGAGCTAGATAGAGATCTGCTGATCTTTGCCAAATGTACAGTGATTCGTAGTTGCAACTTCTTTCCATATCGGTATTCCTGTTTGCAACTTGCAAGGATTATGAATACTGGTTTATTTCACCCAATTAATGCAAATTTGTGGATTGCATCTTCTCAGTAGTTGTTTGACTTGATCTGTTTGTCACAACCAACATATCTATCACACTCTTATGTCAATTTCTTGATCATATTCTACTCCCTATTGTTTGCTTTGCATTGTGAAATCATATATGCTCCCCTCCTAGTTAATGTTTGCATATGCAGTGTTAAATTTTTATGTTATATCAATCGACATTTAGACATACAATTTACATGCAGTAAAAAAGTTCAAATATAGAGATGTGAAAGTACAATTTTTACATATAGCAAAATGTTAATTTCTTATCAATTGTGGATTTGTGGGCCACTTATGATTTATGAATTTGGGAAGAATCCTCCTCACATTTAATCGCAAATTATGCTGTGCAACCGAATGCACCATGCGCATGGTGCATTCGGTCCAAAACGACGTCGTTTTAGTTAAAAAAAATGTGCGTCCCACTTAAAGAAGAAATCAGGTTTGATTCCCGGCAATAGCATTTTTATATATCCATAAATTCATAACTATATATTCATAAATTCAAAACTATATATCCACAAATTCATAACTATATATCCACAGTGAATGAATGAAGTAAAAATCCACAACTATATATCCATAGTGAATGAATGAAGTAAAAATCCACAACTATATATCCATAGTGAATGAATGAAGTAAAAATCCACAATGATTGAACTAAATATCCACAATGAATGAACTATATATCCAGAAATTCATAACTATATATCCACAGTGAATGAATGAAGTAAATATCTACAATGAATGAACTAAATATCCACAATAAATGAACTAAATATCCATAAATTCATAACTATATATCCAGAAATTCATAACTATATATCCACAATAATGCTATTGCCGAGAATCGAACCTGAATTTTTTTTTAAAAGTGGGACGCGCGCTTTTAGTCAAAACGACGTCGTTTTGCATCGTATGCACCATGTGCATGGTGCATTCGGTATCTTGACAATTATTGTAACACTCTCTAATCAAATATTTGAATTAATTGGGAAATCATAATGTTAGTGAAAGTTTTGGGCAAATTATACCATGGATTAGAATTCACTTTGCATTGTGGATCTTGTCCAAAATAACATTCAGATTATTACATGCATTTAACATATTATATACATTTAATTAACAAATTATATACTTGTAAATAAATTAAAGGTACATAATATATTAATTGTAATAAGTACATAATTTATTAACTGAAAGTATAATACCTTTATTAATTGCTCTTACATAATATGTTTTTTTTTTTAAAAAAAAAAAACAAATATATTAAGAGTTGGAAAAGTCAGATATACAAGCCGGTGCGAAAGAAACCCACAATCCTAGCCTAAGATATGCGAAGAATCAGCTGTCACTTTATTTTATTCGCTGACCTCTTGACATGACGAATAGATATGTTTCAATAATACTAGCAATCATATGACATTGCTTAACCATCTCTATTGGACATTGGTGCATTTTTTTAGGGTTTTGGAGGCCTGCAAGTTAAGGTTTTTTATGAAACCCATTATTGAAAGAAAAAAAAAAAAAAGAGTAGAAAATGTTGCTAGGCGCTTTTTCCTACACCTCATTTCTACACGACATCTCAAAAACTTAAAAAAAAAAAAAAATCAAGTGATAGCTTGGTCTAACTTAGGTACAGAATGTATTAATTGTAATATTTACATAAATTTTTTGTAAAATTATTTTGGACCAGAGTTTATAATGTAAGATAATGTTGCATGGTATCATTTTTTGAAAGTTTTGTTATGGAGTATTAAATAAAATAAAATATTTTTCATAATGATAAAACTTTCTGGGAAACTGAGACAGGAGATCGAAGCAAAAGTCTTGCATGAGCATTCAGATGAATCATACAGAACCAGACAGTGGAGAAGCAAAAGTCTTGTTCTTGCATGGGCAGACACTGGACAGTAGTGTCTCAACCTCATTGTCATCAATCAATCTGTTGTTATATATGCACCAAATTTAGCATCCTTCTCCAATTTTGCTACAGCAGAAACTTCGATCTTTGACGGCTGTGTTGGGGGAGCCTTCGTCTTTGGCGATGGTTTTAGCCAGACGTAACAGAAGATCCCTCAATCCAACAGATTTTCTTTTGGAATCGCTATCCTTCTTCTTCGCCCTTCCCCTGGTAACATCTTTTCCTTTGACTTTAGTTGCCCTGTCAGCGGTGGTCTTTACCAAATTCTCTTCTGAGAGAGCTCCATGTTCATCAATGCTCATGACCTCATTTTGCACGCCATCTGTTTGCTGTAATGCCAACACTAATTCAAGTTTTGTTAGCACATCAGCCATATCTGGTCGTTCATGTGGCTGTCTTTCCAGACATCTTTCTGCAATTTCTGCGAACACCTTCAAACAAGTTTGAGAGATTTGCCCCGCCAGACTGCAGTCAACAATATCATTAACTTCTCCTTTTCTCATGGAGTCTATGGCCCAAGTGGCTAGATTGTGGTGCCTCTCAACAAGCCTCCTATCCAGTGCTGGCCTTCCGGTGAGCACTTCAAGCAGCACGACTCCAAAACCATACACGTCTGATTTCGTTGTCAATCTGTGAGTTAAGAAGTATTCAGGATCCAAGTAGCCATATGTTCCTTTGACATCAGTACTAACATGAGTAAACGACTCGTTTCCGTTTCCAGGCCCCATTTTGGACAAACCGAAGTCTGAAACCTTTGCCACCCAGCTCTCATCCAACAGAATGTTTGAGCTTTTTACATCACGATGTATGACCTTATGCTGGGACTGGGACTGGGAGGTGTGAAGGTAATGCAATCCCCGTGCAGCGCCTATTAGAATCTTGAGTCGTCGTTCCCAAGAGAGAGGATGGTTACCATTCCCCAATCTATCAAATTTGTGGAGATGATTTGCCAGAGTTCCTCGAGGCATGTACTCATAAACCAACACCCTCTCCTTACCTTCATTGCAGAAGCCAATTAGGGAGACAAGGTGTTCATTTCTGAGCTTTGATAGCATTTTTATCTCTGTCCAGAACTCCTTCTCTCCCTGCCTAGACTCTTCCTTCAAACGTTTTATTGCTACAGAAGTTGCTCCGCCATCAATATTGCCCCTGTATACTTTACCATATCCACCACTTCCAATCAGGAACTCTGGACTAAAATTGTTGGTGGATAGTTGGATCTCCTCAAACGAGAATTCACGACAAGCTTGGTCTGTGGAACATGATCTTGTGTTTCTCAGGGTGGAGTTAGTTTCAGAGAAACACCTTAGGTAATAGATGGCAATGTTCAATAAAGTGATTGCTAGTGTGAATGCAGTAGCAATTGCACTTTTTCTATCAAAAGAGATTTGCCTTTGGCGACGAGGCATCTCTGACACTGAAATTTGTGTGCTGTGGGGGGCAGGATTCATTCCAGCAAGACAGTTGTCAGGATTACTTAGCTTGAATATTTCTAAGCCATTCAGAATGCCTTCAGTTCTTTTACTGCTCAACTCAGAGTTGGGCTGCAAACTTATAACTAGGTTTCCAGTACTTTTCATTTTATCTCCTTCCATCATGGCAATGTAGTCTCTGTACACTGCAATCCCACTTGCACCGCTCCATTTGATCACGTCGGCATTATACTCAGCTATCTGATTATTTATAAGTATACTGAATTTCCTTTCACCTCTTGCTGATATTCCAGGTTCAAATTCACAGAAATGGAGCCTGACTAGGTACCTGAATCCTAAATTTACTGGAATTATCCATGTGAGATTATGAACAATAAGCTGCTGCTTGCCTGGATGCACTGATCTGGCTGTTTGGTAAACTTTGGGAGGTGCAACATGTGTCAGCATGTCTGCATACTCGATTGTAATGGCGGAATCAATTGAAGCAGCACCAACTCCATTAAACAGGTAGCTTTTGTCATCTTTCCAGCCACGAAACATGCTAACATCTTCAATAGATGGAATTGACTGTCCCCCGACGTTTAATCTCTGAATCATCTGCATTGCTGTAGTAGTATCAATGTAGAATCTGTGCTTTTGGTCAACAACATGGGCACCCAGGTCTCCCTCTGGGGTGAAGTAAAGGCCAGTAGGCATGGAGACAATCTCGATGCCATTGACAAAAGCATAAACATCTTCTGAGGCCTTTGCTTCTTGAGATGGGATGAATGTTATAGTCAACGCTTGGCTTTCTTGTACATTTACACAGTATTCCTTGATGACAAATTTGGCACCTAGAGAATCAGCAGTGAGGGAAGGGCTGAAATTGGTGAGAAGAGTATATGGACCAGCTTTGACAGTAAAAAGGTCTATGGACTTCTTGTAGCCATTGTATGGCGCTGGGTTGAAGTGCAGGCGTATAAATTTCTGGCCGGGCTTGACTGAGAACCGGTAGCTGAACTCATGGCGAGAGGTCCGAGCTGTCTGATATGGAACCGGAGAGGCTTTTTGCTGGGCTCTAGATGCCCAGGATTTTCCAGTCAAGTGCAGCGATGAAGTAGAGGAGATGGTGTTGTTCCCAACCCAGACGCGTCCATGGAGCGCAGTTGGAGTGCCGGAAGAGCCACACGAAATGGCTATGTTCTCAATGCTAGAAGAAGTGGCAAAGATGATCAGACCATGGAATAAGGTAGAGAATGTAAGAACAAAAAGCAGAGGATGATGCATAGTGTTGCTAACAAGTCTTAGTTCTACACTGATGGAAAATGGCGGAACAGAAGCAAGCTAAGGGACTTTCAAAGAAATTCCAATTTACCCAGCAACCATGGTCAAGTACTCAAGTTGGTGAGATGGTTGGATTGAAGTCAAGGAACTAAACGACCGGCATTTACAGTGATGTGGATACAACGGAATGGAACAAAACTAAAACAGAAGTTACAAGACACAATTTTTCATACAAAATGGACTTGGTGGCCTGGTGGCCCTCTACTGTTTTGTTTTGTTTTTTTTTTTTTTTTTTTTTTTTTTTTTTTTTTTTTTTTTAAGATGTCAATCTTAGCTCAAAATTGATGAGTATACTTGATAAGATAATAAAAAAAAATTCAGGTTGAAATATTTTAGCTCAATAAAAAATCAATTTAAAAGTTTGGTGACTCGAACACGACGAACAGACTAGTCCGAGCCACTATTTTTTGTTACATAAGTGATATGAAATAAAATATACATAGAATTTATATTGAGGTTCATCTTTTTTATTGTTTATAAAATTTTAATAAATTTATTACAAAATAAAATATTTTTATGAAAATAAATAATGAAAATATAAAAACAAATTACTATATGATGGTTTTATCGGGATCGGATTCACCATAAATCGGGTATAGAGATACAGAATAGGGATAGGAAAATAGTAGCTTCATTATCCGGGGCGCTAAGCCCAAAATAGTACGTACAAAGTCCAATGTACAGGCCCATAATTGTGGCTCAAATACAAAGATCACAGCCTAAGGAATGAACTAGAGTTAGCTAGGGCCGAGCCGCTAGCGAGAGGTGGCCGCATGTCAAGCTCGTATTGGTAAGGGCTTGAGCCCAAACCTCCTTAGAGCGCAAATTATGTTGTGCAACCGAATGCACCATGCGCATGGTGCATACGATGCAAAACGACGTCGTTTTGGTTAAAAAACGCGCATCCCACTTAAAAAAAAAATCAGGTTCGATTCCCGGCAATAGCATTTTTATATATCCATAAATTCATAACTATATATCCACAAATTCATAACTATATATCCACAGTGAATGAATGAAGTAAAAATCCACAATTAATGAACTAAATATCCACAATGATTAAACTAAATATCCACAATGAATGAACTAAATATCCATAAATTCATAACTATATATCCATAAATTCATAACTATATATCCACAGTGAATGAATGAACTAAATATCCACAATGAATGAACTAAATATCCATAAATTCATAACAATATATCCAGAAATTCATAACTATATATCCACAATAATGCTATTGCCGAGAATCGAACCTGATTTTTTTTTTTTTTAAAGTGGGACGCGCGTTTTTAGTCAAAACGACGTCGCTTTGCATCGTATGCGGATGCACCATGCGCATGGTGCATTCGGTTGCACAGCATAACTATTGTCCTTAGAGTGGGACTAAGAGTGTCTCTGTTAATACATGGATTGCAATTACAATAGTTATGCCTTGGATTCGGTCCACCTTGCAAGGTGAAATCAGATTAAAATACATAATTTATATACCGAATATTCACAATTCAAATTGTGAACATTTAGTATGTAAATTGTGAACATTCAGTACGTAAATTGCGAACATGCAGTATGTAAATTGTAAACATTCAGTATATAATAATTGTGAACATTCAATATATAAATAGTAAAAACTCAATATATAAATTGTGTATTTTTTATTTATTGGACCCGAGTCCACCTTACAAGGTGGACCCGGGCCCACAACATAATTTGCTATGTCGCTCATGGAGTGACCCTTGGCTTATGATAGTTTTGAGCTTGAAACGGTTTAAGATTTTTAATTATTTATAAAATTTGAGACTTCCTAATATTATAAAAATTGAATTATAAATAACTTAAAATAAATATCATTAATCGAACTCGACATAAAAATTGGCAAATTTATTATTGTCTTTGATGTGTTGTTGTCTTAATGCGTGTGATATGATTATATTTGTAAAGGATATTATTGAGAAAATATTTATGTTGTGGTAAAAAAATGAGGGAAAATTATTAATGCCATAATCCAGGACAATTCCATGAATGAAACTGAGAAATTATTGGCCCTCCAGTTGTGCAAGTGGGATGGTTGAAATGCCAGAGGTGACTAAACTAGTCGTATTTTGCTTTCCCAGGGCCATGCTGAGCATATTTTACTTTCCCAGGGCCATGCTGAGCATTTCAAGAAGAGTGTAGATTTTGCCATGTGTTTAGTATCATTATTTTAAGTGTTAGTTCAGATAATTTGAATCACACCCATCCTAATCTTGAAAGGTTATAAAACTCTCTAATCAAATATCAACCTAATCTGTTTGAAGGGTTGGTGACCCTAGTGGTTGCTATACAGTGAAAATTGACTATAGGAACATTCTTGGGGAGGTAATTAACAATTTGGAAGGTTTTTATGAATGGACAAAACTTTGGAAGCTAAAAGCCTCCAAATGGAGGACCTTTCTCTAGAGAGTTATAAGAGACATCCTCCTTACAACCCCTAATTTATTAGCAAAAAAGGTGGAAGTTAGCCTCACATGTCCAATGTGTGCTACTCATCATGAAGATGTGATGCACTTCAATTCCTCTTTTGTTGTGACTATTCTCGACAAGTTTGACATGTTTTCTAGCTCCCTCTTCCTTGTGTTAGTGGCACTTCCTCTTTCATCTTATAAGGTAAACTCTGAATCCTGAGCTTATAATAATTTTGAGTTTCGAACCATCTAAGATTTTTAATTGTTTTTAAAAATGGAGACTTTCTAATGTTATTATTAAAAAAAAATTGATAACTTCCGTATGCACCATGCATACGGATGCAAAAACGACGTAGTTTTAATAAAACGCGCGTCTCCCCTAAAAAAAAAAAATCAGGTTCGATTCCCAGCAACAACATATGAACTAAAATTTCATAATCGATGAACTATAATTCCATAATCGATGAACTATAATTCCATAATAGATGAACTATAATTTCATAATCTAATCTATGAACTAAAAATTCCAGAATGAATGAACTAAAATTCCATAATCTATAAACTAAAATTTCAGAATCGATGAACTACAATTCCATAATCGATGAACTATAATTTCATAATCAATGAACTATAATTCCATAATCTATGAACTAAAATTTCAGAATGAATGAACAATATAATGTTGTTGCTGGGAATCGAACCTGAATTTTTTTTAAAGGGGAGACGCGCGTTTTTTAATAAAACGACGTCGTTTTGGCATCCGTATGCACCATGCATGGTGCATACGGATGCACAACATAACGATTGGAATTTTTTTATTTAAATAAATGCCGGCAAATTATATTATGCACCGCGGGTCTTTTTTTAAATGAAAATTAACAGTGTTTATTTCCGCCGTTTCGCACCCTTTTGCAAAAAGTAACTATGTTATTCAGTGTCGTTTTGTATGAACTGCAGTTTCAGTTGAACACAACTACAGTTTCATTTCGATATAACTATAGTTTCATTCGATATGTGGTCTAATGGTACCCGGGTTGGACTTTCATTTGGAAGATTATGAGTTCGAGCCTTAGTAGAGGTGTTATTGGTTCTTTGTGTTTCAGTAGGTTGAGAAAGTATACGAACAGATACTAAAAAAAAATAGTTTCATTCGATATTTATAGACTCAAATATGTGAAAATGTTATTTAATTTTATTTTATATACACTATAGTTTCATTAAAACACAACTACATGATCATTTTGATATAATTACAGCTTCATTGTATAATATACACTCAAATATGTGAAATGTTATTCAGTTTCAGTTTATATACACTGCAGTTTCATTTCACTATAACTACAGTATCATTTTGATATAACTGCAGTGCCGGTTTGGATATACTGTAGTGTCAATTGGTGTTTAATACACCAAACAAACGGACTTCGTTAACTCTAACGGCGGGCCGTTTCTTTACTTAAAGAAACGGCGTCGTTTTTGACCGCGGTGCACATGCACCGCGGTCTATAATATAACGACTGATAAATGCCTTTTCGGGCCTATCATTATATTGAACATTCTTGTGAAATAGAAAGCCCGGAACTTGGCCCATATTTGTCTTGAAGTAGGCCCACGTCATCATCGTCTTTTCCAGTGAGACTCGCAAGGAAGAAGGGGAATAAAAAAGTAGGAAAAGTGAAGGGCGTTTGCTCTCCGGCGATCGGCGAACGTGCGAAAGCGCCGGCTAGGTAAAGTTGTTAGCTTCACTGATATATCTAGAAAGTAGAAGTCTTTGTTTAAAGGAAAAGTTTTAGTAAGTTCTCTGAATATGTATATATTGCTGCATATAAGGTGTTTGTGTAATTGTCTATGTGGTGGATGATTTGTAAATAAGGGATATGCTATGCCCGCTAACGTCTTTATTTTAGCATTCTAGATTGTGACTTAGCCTATTTTAACTCGAGGGAAAATTTTCGACCTATTGCTTCTATGAAGCGTAAAACATGCCTAGCAACTATTTATGCTACTTCAGTTTCTCTTGGTTATACCTTCTGTTCTCTGTTGTTTCAGAGGTTGTGAGGTTGTGAAAATTTTAACTTCTCTTTAATCTTTCAGAATGGAAAATCAAGAAGACGGACCAATGCATGAGTATAGGGAGAAGATTTTGCTCATCTTCTCAGATTTTATGACAAGGTTGATTCAAAGCTCATGTTTATTTCTTCAAAGAATGCTAAATTATTATTATTATAATGTACTCCTAACTTTCTGAATTATGCCCTATTACCTTAAAGTATATGCTGTATTTTTTTTTGGAACTTTTGAAGTATTAGAATGTTATTTTGAACCAACAAAAGCAGTTGAGAATGCTAAGATCATGAAAACCTAACACATTTTATTGTGTGAAAATTTCTATTGGTAGAGATTATGTAATATTGTATTCCAATCGTCCTTTCCAGCTTCTTCCACAGCATGCTTTAGACTTTGTTAACTCTTCATTTTCATTACTTGTCAAACTATTGTCCAGGATTGCAGTGCTCGAGGAACTATTGTCTGTAGGAAACAGATTGCTGGTTGGCTTTCAGAATGGGCTCGGTGAGCTTTGTGATATCCATTTGAATACCTAAAGGATAAACATTCTATATCTTCTTTTCTTTACTCATGCATGTGTGTTTCTTGTAGAATATGTTCAAAGGCCTCCAATTGAAAAGAAATCTGAATTGGTTGAGCAAATTATTAGAGATAATGAAACCAAGAGGCTGTTATCCTACATTGAAGCAGGATGCAAAAATACCAATGATGGTATTCAGAATATAAACAAGTGTAAGTTCATCAGTTCATACAGACATTAAAGAAGCAAAAGGCTCTGTAGAAATAAGGAATTTATTTCTCTTGCATTCTTTAAGTTAAACGTTCAATATACTTCGGTGTCTTCAGGCTTGTATTATTCCTTCGTCCATCGACTAATGAATTTTTATTCATTATAATACCATTTCTTCCTCATTACTTGGTGCTTGATAAATTGATTGTAACTTTATTATGGTTATGTGGAAAACAGTTCAGATTCCAATATTTCATCTCCTTTTATTACAGGTTGTTCTATCCAAAATGCCACCCTATAGATTATGGGTGCCAATCTCTGTAAACACAGTGGAAAGGGTGTGTATAACATTCCAAAGCATGCATGACAGAATCCTTATGCAAAGAGTGCAAATTATTTGTCTATCTCATTGATTTTTATGCGTAAATCCATTCAGTTGTCTTGATAAAATATGCAATGCACTAATGCATAATGGATGTTGTCCAGCAATTTTGAACTTAAAATTGTAACTTGTTTGCCCGACGCACTGAATGTGCTGTGTATAAAAAAGACTATATTACTTGACATCATGTTTCTAATTTATTTTGCAATATTTCCTGCAAATTTTCATCTTCATAACTTCAGTTTTGTGCTTGCAGAAGTGCACGCGTGCCACCTTGGACTCCAGGATCACAAAACAAAAGGTATTTTTCACCCAGGAACTACAATCGATCTTTTTATTCATGTTACATTATTGGTGTAACAGAACTGGCTTACGAAGAAATAAAACCAAGCCACTCTTGATTATACGAGCTTCTTTTTGAACTATTTCCATGTTCTTAAAAGCTTAGTGATTTTTGGCTAAGGGGGTCAAATAAGCATTCAAACTATCTATTAAAAAAAAGGCAATTGAGCTCCCAAACTCAAAAAAAAGTTTTAAGCGACTGCCCAAACTCATAAAAAAAAAAAAAAAAAAAAGTGCAATAAGCACTTTACTCCCGATAGTAGTCAGTAATCATTCAGTTGGCCAATGAAGCTTTAAAAAAAATAGTTTAGGGCCCAATTTCATTTTTTCCAAATAGTTTGAGTGCCTTTTTGTCCAGTATCCCATCATATTTTTCTATTGATCTTTAACATGATTTTGTAAGCAAAGCACCTTCCTAGTCTCTCAAATATTACGGAATTGGTTGCTTTTAAGTTTTAGAACGAGCACATATCCCTGTTTTTAGCTCAAAAAGTTTCTTTCTAGTTTCTGATAGGGCCTTTGTTTTTCTATATCTGTTGCATACCCTTATATTCTTATTTCTACCCTTTTTAATACCATATCAACAGCTACTATAGCTGATGGTTCTCCTATTGTGATTATTACGTAGATGTTCCATGTGTAATTTGTTAGATAATTTGATACTGTCTACATTAATATCATATTTAATAGAATATCTGAACTAAATTTTTTTTTTCATGTATGATGTTTAATTGCAGCAAAATGCTTAGTGGATGAATTGGCTTGCCTTTTGGATGATGCAGCTGCTTTAGTGCAAAGTGCAAATAATAGCCTGCCTTGCATGCTGGATAGAGATACCAACTCCAGTTTGAACTCTGGTGCAACTTCAACTGACAGAGTAAGATCCTTTTTCTTCTAAACTCTAGTTATATGTATCCCAACAAGCTGCCTCAGATGTGTGATACTATTATCTTTTGCTTTTTCTTGTTATTTAAATCTATCAATCCTTTCAAAAAAACAAAAAAAGTCTATCAATTACATCAATTGGAACATTCATTGAAGTGGCCTTGATTTGTCCACACCGGCTGTTTCTCATTTTATTGTTTGCCTTCATATCTGGAAGCATGATGTAATATTGCTAATTTTATAAGTGGCACGGCACATTTCATTGGTGTGTTTCTATATTATGCACTCATTTGGTAAAGCTTATTTACTCTGATTATTAAGTTGTGGATTATACATTGTAAAATCTTTTCACCTTTATTCAAGCAAATAGTGCATTTGTATCTTTGAGTAGAATATAAATTATTTACAATCCATAATCATAAATTATTATCATAATCAATAATCCTATGTTTTGCCAAATGGGTACTATGTATGACTGCTTTGTTTATCATGGTTTCAGAAAAGATCTTTGGCTTCTCTAAATCAGATTTAACTTCTTAATCATGCTTAGATGTTTGCACCATGGTCTGCATATTGCTTTTAATTGTTGGTCCTCTGCAATGATTTGTGTGCACTAGATTGGGTGTTGGTAAGATATTACATTTTTACATATTTGATGGTCTAATATCAAATAAACTCCTCATAGAAACATTTAACAGAACCCATTTGCTTATTTTACTTGCATTAACTGCTACTAGGTTGAAAAATTTTGAACGGACTAAGTTTCTATATCTTAATTAATCTTTTCATGAAGCCGCTCATTTTTATGGAAGCAGCATACTTGAGCATTACTGTCTCTAGACGCTGCTCATCTGTATTGTGATATGTGAATGCTTGTCACTTTGTGAAGTTGATGTTTGTCGTGCTGTGTAGATACTTTCTTTTAGTTGGAATGAGATTTAACGTCACCACTGTTTTTACCCAGGAGGAAGTGCCATCTTGTGTTCTGAAGCCTGAAGTAACTGATATTGCTACAATGATGGCAGTCATATTTGCTATGGTTAAAAAAGATTATGTGATGCAGGTAAATAATTTTCTCATCTCTTTTATAATAAAAAAAAAATGCATATAGATGCTGTTTTGAGGTCTTCAAGCATACAGTAATTTGCAACCTGGTCTGAGCTTTTATCTTCTTCAATGGCCTTTTGCCTGCAACATTCGGTCTTGGCTTTTGTTCAGGAAAAGATTGTTTCATCTCTCGATCTTAAATCATCATCTGGGGAGCTAGAAAGTTACTGCCTGATGTGGTCGCTGCGGCCTTTTGTAGATGACGAGATCATTCAGAGAGCGTGGAAGCTTGTTCATTGACTATTAAGTTTGTCATGTATTAAGGAAAGTAGGCTGTTCTCTTGACACAATTATTTCTTATGATCTATTTTGTCTAAATAGTTCACAATTTATTTCATTGTCTTCTCTACCTTATAAGACAGTTTCGTTTTAAAACCGGGGCTTTTCTCCTCACTTCAAATTTCCCTAGTCCCAGTTTATGGAATGGTTGGAGAGTAAATCATATTTGTTCTCTATGTTTACTTGTTTCTGTTACTTGTATAGTTGTATATGGCATATACTTAAAAAGCCGAGGTAAAGAAACTGCTACAAAGAATATAAAAACATATGAGAAATGAAAGATTAAAACCTAAACGAAAAGTCATTACATAGACAATAGATCTAGTACAAAAGGCTAGCGAATGTTCAGCAGTTTGTGATGCTCACTGACTGGCAATCTGGCATCAGATATTAAGCTTCTTCAAATTCTCGATTTCCAGAGACTCCTGCAGTTGATCATCAGTTGCAATCCTTGTTGCTTCTTCTGGAGCTATTAGGGTGGTTCCAAGGTCAGTGGATGTCCTTGAAACTGGTGGGTCATTTTGAACCGGCAAAGCTCCAGGAAGTGGCTCCTCTACCTTCGGTGGGAGGACTTGAGAACCTAAAGGGGGGGATGCTGTTGGCCCCTCGGCTCTACCTGGTGCTGCTTTAGGGGGATGGGGATTTACCTGGATTTCTGGTGCTTTAGAATCCAGTGCTTCCTTAAACTGAACAGGTGGAGGTTTAGATGATGGCGGCTCCTTTAATTTATGTGATCTGTCTGATACAGGTCGTTCTTCTGGCCGAACTGGGAGAGGAGAAGCATACACTGGCACAACCTGTCTAACAGACACGGATGGAGCCACACCCATTGATTGAGGCCTTATATTCCTTTGAGACTGAGAAGGTGGTGGGCGTGGTGGTGCAGAGAAAACTGGAATTGCATTTCGAATAGTCACTGGAGGTGCAATTCTATGGTGTGGGCTAAAATGCCGAACAGGAATGTAGGGTGCAGCACCAGCTGCCAGAGACTTGGCTGGTCGAGCCCAGTGGCTTTCCATGATTGTTAAGAGGCCATCACTTATGACAGTATTTGAACACAAGGATGTCTCATTACTTGTTGAATTCAGCAGCCTGCTTTGGACCGCAGTTCTTGAGCATAGTGGACTGACAGGTCTACTGTGATGGGATGTTCTTGGGCGTATTAGGGGAAGTATTTTCGATGTTGTAGATTGAGCTTGCTGTGTACTCGATGGCCTTGAATTGGGAGTCTGAAAATTGATTGGGAACGGTACTCCAGCCAACTTTGCTTTGATCAGATATATTTGCAAAGCACGTGCTACAGCAACATGCTCCTGTTCTTCAATTCTGCCCTTATCTGGACTTGAATTCTCAGACTGTTGTTCCACTGGATAGACAAAAAGGAGCATGTCACAGTAAATGCCTCAGAACATCAACCTCTAACCCAGTACATAAAAAGGGGAAAATTAAACATAGTGTCAATTATGTTGATATGTGGATGTTGAGAAGGAAATATGCCAAACAGATAATCTCCATTATTTTCTAAAAAAGAATTTATTTAAAAAAAAAAAAAAGTAAAAACAAAATAAAGGCATATATGATATACCAAGATTTGCTCTTTATTGAGCAATGGGCATCTTAATTACAAGAAAGCCCAGAGTCCCACTATACAACACTTTTCTCCACCCAATGAAAGATCCGGCATATATTGATGTTTTAGGTTATACACCTTTTTATTTTCATGTATATAAGTAGATAATTCCCATTTTATTGGGGAGAACAATATCAATAGTTAGACATGGATTTGCATCACTTACATAATTTTAGGGATGACCAAGCTGCCATGGCTGCATTTTTTTCAGCCTGCTTCTTATTTTTTGCTGGCTCACCAGTAAATGTAACACCTGCCAACTCTACAGTACATGTAAAGACAGGTTGGTGTCCTAGGCCTGATCTGAATGTTGTGTATGCAGGCAATGATGCTCCCACTCTTTGAGAAACTTCTTGCAAGAGATTTTTGTATACGCCTGTCTCATCCTGCAGAATTTGTGAAGTAATAGTCTTAACTAACAAGCATGGATGATAGAGCATAGCCAATTACATGACAAAGGTGGAGCCTAAAAGATGGATTTAGAATCATTATATGGAAAGCAATAAGCCACAATCAGAAAGATTAGTTCAAGGAAACCCATTAACGATGCTATTAAGAAAATTACTCCATTGTAATCAAATCAGTGAGTTGTGAGTAAGAGAAATGAGGTGAATTTGTCAGTCCTTTCTTTCATTTAGATATGGGGTTCATTAAAGATCTAACACACTTACACACCATATGATGGTTTTATTTGCCCAAGCCCAACACAATCTAGGTATAAAAAACAGTAAAGGCATGAGTATGAATGAATGACAACTTTTATGTGGAAACCAAATCAGTGAAAACCACAAGCATTTTTGTGCTAAGTCAAGCCAAACTCCACTCTCTTATTTATGTGTTTGTACATATACGTGAGTATGAAGTTTGAACACACTATGCAGCCATGGAGTTTTGTCAGTGTTTTTGTGATAAGAGTTGATGTCTAGAAAGAATATTCCCAGCTATATTTGTGTCTTACCCCCGCCCCAGTCGGGGGCGGGGATGGGGGGTATGTCCCCCGCCCCGTTGACATCTCTTCATCTTTAGGAAGAGCTGGGTTGGTGTTCTCAGTTTTGTACTGCTTGATTGATCAATCATACTCCCAGTTGATAAACTTCCCCTGAAGGATCATCCTCCTAGTGGATCAACCTCCTCTTGACGGACAAATTGAATACATTGAACAATATTATCCCCATCACCATGGACACACAGGAATTCCATCACCAGTGTAAAATGGCCGTTTTGTGAGAGCTTTCACACTCAGATGATAATAGAGGGTGAAACAACAGGAAATCGAGCATTTTCAAATGTTCAGGGGATGTTTGAAATGTAGACTAAATTGGGAGGCATATTGGATTTTTTTTATTATTATTTTTTTTTTAAACTCTTCTATGTAGTTTCATCTAGCAGAAAATACCATGACCACCGGGGAAAAGTAATTCAGAAGCACGTATTCTCTCACATATCTCAGCAGCATCAGCTAACAAAAGCTTAGTCCATGTGAAAAGAATTTCACTGACAATTACAGTGATGCACACTTCTACAAACAAACTTGGATCACAAATTCAGTTGGAGAAAACAGAAACATACAAAAAGCCATACATTAATCAGAGAAAAACAACAGAAGCAAGCTGTACCGGAAAGCAGAGACAAACCCTAACATTTCCGCGGCTAAATTCGGTAATACTCACCAGGATCTTCGCAGCAAGCGAGTGGGAAGGTCCACGGTTGGCGAGAGCATTGAGCGCCACCTCGGCGGCAGAATGCTCAGCCTGGCGGAGCGTGGAGCAGTAGTTAGGGCTCTCGAACGTCTCGCCGTTGAAGTTCACGGTCGCCTTGAATCGCGGCGCGTGATCAGGACCTTCTCTGATGCAGGAATACGACGGCAAGTTGAAGCAGCTCCTCTGCGCCAGCTCCTGCAGCTGGTTCTTATACATTTCTCCCTACCACAACCAAACCCTTCCAAACCTTCAAAAGCGAGAAATCAAACGGAAAACAATCAGCTCAGATCATCACGGCCGACACCAGCTCCGATCGGAGGGTTTCTAGACAGAGAAAGTAACATCGGAGCAAATGGCCGGCAGAGAGAGAGAGAGATTGGAGCTTCGTAGCAGAGAAGAGAAAGAGAGAGCGGGTGAGGGATTCTACTCTCTCGGCATCAGAAACAACGAAGGAGAGTGTGAATGCTAAGAATGCTTTTTGTTTGCATTTATCTCTGAGGGACTAATACAATCCTCTACACGCGGACACATGGGAAAGATATAAGAACTACTGGTATCAGCCGTTGGATGAGTGTAAATCGGTATCAGAGTTGATCGCAGCGTGGCGCGTGTTTCGTTATGGTGAGGTGGGCTGTATGGGAAAACTGAGTTTATGAGGTGTTGTGTTAGATCAAGTGTGTTAATGATGGGAAGCTAAGTACTTAGATTAGGAGTGTTT